CCTGGGCGACAGTGGGAGACTCCGTCTCGGGGGGAAGAGAAGTTTAGCCGTGCGTGGTGGTGCATGCCTGTAATCCCAGCACCTTGGGTGGATCACCTGAGGTCAAGAGCTCGAGACCAGCCTGACCAACATGGTGAAACCCTGTCTCCACTAAATTTAAAAAAAAAAAAAATTAGCCTGGTGTGGTGGTGCATGCCTGTAATCCCAGCTACTTGGGAGGCTGAGGCAGGAGAATCTCTCGAACCTGGGAGGTGGAGGTTGCAGTGAGCCGAGATTACGCCATTGCACTCCAACCTGGGCAAAAAAAGCATAACTCCATTTAAAACAACAAAAACAATAATAATTTAAAAACCCAAAACTTTAAATAGCTTTGTTGAGATATAAATTACAGACTATAAAATTCACCCATTTAGCTGGGCGAGGTGGCCATGCCTGTAATCCCAACACTTAGGGAGGCCAAGGCAGGCGGATTGCTTGAGCCCAGGAGTTCAAGACCAGCCTAGGCAACATGGTGAGGCTCCATCTCTACAAAAAATACAAAAACTAGCTGGGTGTGGTGATGCATGCCTGTAGTCCCAGCTGCTCAGGAGGCTGAGGTGGGAGGATGGATTGAACCCAGGAGGTGGAGGCTGTAGTGAGTTGGTGAGTTGTAATCATGCTACTGCACTCCAGCCTGGGCGGCAGAATAAGACCCTGCCTCAAAAAATAACAATAATAATAATAAATAAAATAAAATGTACCCATTTAAAATGTACAATTCGTTAGTTTTTAGATGATTCAGTTATGTGACCATCACATCTAATTTGAGAACATTTTCATAACCCCAAAAAGAAACATGTAACATTGTCTCTCCTGATTGCCACTACATACAACCCCAGTCCTAGGTAACCACTAATGTATTTTCTGTCTGTGGATTTGTCTATTCTGGACATTTCACATAAATGGATTTGTATAATATGTGGTCTTTTGTGACTGGCTTCTTTCACTTAGCTGAATGTGTTTAATATTCATCTATGTTGTAGCATGTATCAGTATTTCATTCTTTTTTAAAAAAATCTTTTTATTAATGAATAATAGTTCATTGTATGGATATATCACATTGTATTCATCCCTTCACCAGTTAATGGACATTTGGATTGTTTCCTTGTTTTAGTTATTATGAATAAGGCTGCTATAAACATTCATCTACAAGTTTTTGTGTGGATATATGCTTTCAGTTCTCTTGGGTATATCCCTAGAAGTGGATTTGCTGGGTCGTGTGTTTTTTTCATGTTTTTGTTTTGTTTTATTTGAAACAGGATCTCACTCTGTTTCCTACATTGGAGTGCAGTGGCACAATCAAGGCTCACTGCAGCCTTGGCTGGGTTATCTGTTAACTCCATCTTTACTACTTTGAGGAATTGGCAATTGTTGTCCAATGCAACCACACTGTTTTGCATTTTCATTAGCAATGTATGAGGGTTCTAATTTCTCCACATCTTCCTACGTAAAATATGTCTCATCCAAAGACAAGCTGTAATTATTCACAAATGACATGATTATATATGTGGAAGATACAAGACTCTAGAAATAAACTATACAAAGTGAATATAGGAATCCCAGCACTTTGGCAGGCCGAGGTGGGCAGATCACGAGGTCAGGAGATTGAGACCATCCTGGCTAACACAGTGAAACCCCGTCTCTACTAAAAATACAAAAATTTAGCCGGGCATGGTGGCAGG